ACAAACAGAATTGCCCGGTAAACCGTAGGCAGAGAGAGAGAAGAGGACAACAAACGAGGGGCTGTGACAAACTGTTTCGTCGGAGTTTCACCGACTCATATAGTCGGTGAAACTCCGACGAAACAGTTTGTCACAGCCCCTCGTTTGTTGTCCTCTTCTCTCTGTCTGCCTACGGTTTACCGGGCAATTCTGTTTGTGACGATATATATATAAAATAACATATATGTACAGGGTAACCAGCGTTTGGGACGGGCTGAACGCCCGAAACCAAATGCCCGAACGTACGAGAACCCTTGGGGATGCGTTCCGCTGTTCGGGCCGAACGTAGACAAAAAGATGAAGAAAAAAAAATCAAAAAAATTATAAAAATATGGAAAAAAAAGTTATGACGAATAATAAAATAAACAAAATTTTCCTGAGCATTACATCCAGATTCCTTACCAAATTTGAAATCAAAATCAAACAAATAAAATAAAATTAATAAGAAAAATAAGAAAAAAATTCAAAAAATGAAAAGCGAATTAAAATTAGCGAGTGAGCTAGCACGTTTTCGACACCACCATCTTTGGTGGTTTTTCATGTTTTTTTGGCACAGCCAAATGCCCTGAAAATTAGGGACAGGGGTGGTCCCAGCACTTCGGTAGATTTTTCGTTGTTTCGGCTTGGTGTGTTTTTTTACGATTTGCTTGGTTGTGGTTTCGTTTTGTCCCGGACACGTTGGTCCTGGTTTCACCGGTTCCGGAACGGAGGCCGAGGAATATAACTGGAAGACGTGCCGCACAGAACCCTGAGATTTTTTCGGAACTATATCAGCAATGATTGAGTAGGTTGCAGTCCTTTCCGGGACCGGAATCGTTCGAGCCGGCCGCAATGGTGAATAGGATGATGCTGGAAGGTTGGTGGCATGACGACGTAGTCAAGGGTGAAGTCAAGGCGGATAAAGCCCCCTGAGGACAACCGCGTGGCTGCAGTCGAAACCGGTCGGGGTAGCCATACCCACCGGAGTGTGATTCATTCAGTTGTTGTTGATGAACCGCGTGTTTCATTCAGTTTTGTTGATGAACCGCGTGTTATAATTTTACATGTACTGGACTACATGTCTTGAGTGGGCTATGTACTTGTGCATGATGGGTTGATCACATCACTTGTCACGCACACCTTCAACCAACAAACCTACTGTGGCGCGAGTGAACCTACTCGGATTATGAATTGCCCGGGTTTGAGTGAGCACGTTAGATGTGCGACTTCTACATCTACGGGTCAACAAGTCACATCACCGTGAGGAACATTCGCTGAAGCGTGAAGCAGTGGAAGGTACCGACACCATAACGTATTGAGAAGGATGGCGAATCGTGGATATTGGGATACCGGGCGCGATGTTGAACGTGAGCGCCGTGACACGAGACATGAAGGGCGACGAGAAGACAGCCGCGAAGGCTATCGTAGCGCTGGAAGGGAGTACTACCAAGAAGACGTGCGTGAAGCGGTATGGGATCGAGGATACATGTCAGGGGAACGCCGAAGGCGAGCACCACCGACATGCTTCGAATGCGGACAAGTCGGCCACTACCACAATCAATGTCCGAAGCTAACGGGCGAAGGAAGCTCACGCCAGGGCGAAGCGCGCTTGCAACCAAGGCTTGGAACGGAAGAGGAATCACCGGAACGAGCAAAACTGAAACGACAAATTGAAGACCTTGGAGCATCCATCACCTCCATGCAGGGACATATCAAAGCCGAAAATCGGAAGAAGGCGAAGAAAGAGAAACGGAGGTTAGAGAAGGCGGAGCGACTGAAGAAAGACGAGGAAGAACAACGAGCCAAAGAAAAGAAAGAGGCGAAGAAACAGGCAAAGCTCAAGGAAGCCGAGGATTTTCGCATGCAAATGAGGAAAGAAGTACGTATGGAAGCGGCAAGAGTAGCAGGGGAACTACGAGATGTAGTGTCCGAGGATTGGCGGGATCAGATCAAAGAGGAACTGAGACGCATTGTAACAGCGATATTGCCGAGCGAGAAAGAGAAAGGGAAAGCTAAACAACAGTCTCCACCATCCACCGGGAAATCAGGATCTGGGAGTAGTAGCAGCGCAAGTGACGTCGAATCACTTCGACGACGTACAAGGAGACTGGCAATAACTGAGAAGCGCAAGCGGAGCATGGAGAAAACGCTTGGAAGCAGTTCACCTGTGATGCAACCCGCCAAACGGACACCACGTACTGCGCAAGTTAAACCGGTGAAGTTAGCAGCAAAACTGCAGACAGCTAAGAAGGCTGACAAGATGAAGACACCGCCTCCTCGATGCACTCCACGACGACGCACACCACGCACGAAGATTGCGGCAACACTGGGTACTCCCGGGAAGGAAAATTTCATTTGTGAGAATATCAGAGTACTGGCCGAATATGGAGCGGATGAACTTAAGGACATCTGCAGGAAGGAGGAAGTGGAGTACGGAAACAAGACGGTGGCAGCGATGAATATCGCCGAGAAACGAGCAGCCGAGGCGTACGATAACCCGAATCAGGGAGTCGTTGAAGGGGATGCAGAAGTTGAGGAGATTGACTAGGGTGATGCCGAAGTTGGCACGGAATCAGGAGACGAAGCATGAACTGAGAGGGAAGTTGATTGTTTGTGGAAACTGTGTAGAGTGCTTGTTGAATACCGTACGACGCTTGGATTTGATAAGAGAATTGAGAGGTTGTACCGACTGATTGTTATCTCGTTGACTGTCAACGGCCAGGCTAAGTGGCTTACAAAGTGTATTGGATCATGGCACCGAATGTTTGAGGCATTAGGAGTTGGGTTCGTGGACTCATGCAACGTAGTTTACATATTAGCCTCACCATGGTGTAAGGCTCAATACGTTGGAAAAACATGCAGGGACGTCGACGTGCGATGGCGTGAACACACCTCACGGTGTGATCGTCGAAGTAAAGACACGCACCTGTATCGCTGGTGGTAATGTTTTGGGAGAGAAAAGAGTTCACATCTCCCAGAGTGAAGCAGAGGGATATATGTTGAGTGTGAGTAGCACCGATTTGAAGTGTTTGGAGCTGGACACAGTGAGGGAACTGAAAGGACGGTTGAGCGGGTTAGTCTGTACACCCCTTGACAGGAACACGGGGGAGACATTAGTTCTCTGCCCGCTGTTGTATCACGAAGCCATGATGACAACCTTTGTCTGTAATGCAGGGTACCGTATTGTAGACAGGAGTGAGGCAGCCATCCTCGAGGAGATGAAGGGTGACGTGTTGGGACACGGCCTAAAGCAGCTCGTCAAGGTAGAGAAGCGGGGCACCTTCGGCAACGCTTACGTTCTACCGAAGCACAAGGATTTAGATCGATTTCGACCGATCTGTCCTTCGTACTGCGAACCTACAGTAAAAGCTTCGAGGTTGGCGGCGAAAGCACTCAATCACCTACTGTTTGCCTTACCTGCAGCATGGCACTTCAACATGAAGGCGGTCCCAGAAATCGTTCCACGCATCAATAAGATGAACAAGAAGATCCGGCAACAAAGGAGGGAAGGCGATCATGTCTTATCGATGTCGTACGACATCAAAGACATGTTCAGTAAATTACCACATGCAAAAATCATGGAAGCTGTTAATTGGATCATCGGACATTTCATCTCGAAAGGGAAGACCGCAGTCAGAGTGAATCCACGAGGACGGGGCGGTAGTTTCGGAAGGACGACCAGAGCGGACCATTGGCGGAGCATTGAACTGGAGACACTGAGGCGGTTTGTTGAATTTGACCTGAAGCATACATACACCAAAGCTACGGGCGTAATCTTGAAGCAGGTGATTGGGATTCCTATGGGCAGAAGTACGAGCCCGCCGTTGGCGTGCATCATGTGTGCGCACGCCGAGTTCAAATTTCTGTCAGGCTTGGGGAAGGCAAGAGGTAATGTGTTTGGCACCCGACTGATTGATGGCGTCAACCTGATAATTGTGTCGAAGGGGGGTGATGAGAGGAACGGAACCAGGATTAGGGAGTTGTTCGAATGTTGTTATCCCAACACACTCACCCTGAAGAGGACGGATGACGGTAGCGGGACATAGGAATTTCTGGGATTGGAGATGCGGTTACAGGATGATTTCCCGTATGTAGGGTGCGTTCAGATGTCTAGGAACGAACGGTCTGTGTGGTCAGACGAGGAACTCGAGTTCAAAAATGGACAGAGCTTCAGATCTTGGGGAACCAAATCACACAAAAGCGCGGTCATCGCAAGCAGGCTCCACAGAATAGATAGAAACACAACGGACGGGAGCGAGTTACCAGACAGGGTCTTGACTTTGAGCCGGGAACTTAGACTCATGGATTTCCCCACCAAATTTTTTTAACGTGTTCTAAAGAGATTCGGAACTGGCAGAGATTCGACATGGCATTATATCTGGTCCTGGTTGTCTAGCGACGTACCGAACCTTTCGCTGTAGGACAGAGCTAGGAAGAAGGGACGATGAGGTAGCAGTTACTAGTGACGTTGCACAGCCGCAAGTTAACAAGCATGGGTTGTTGTAGCTATGGGATGTTAGACAATGTGTGGATGGATTACATCTAGGATATTGTGACACAATAGTAGGATGTAAGAGCGTGGTACCAGATCTGAGTAGCTGTGTTGTCTTGTAAGTGTAGTAAGTCATACATTTTCACGCCGTTTATTGCTAGTGATTGTTTGGGTGAATAATGTGAAGTATAGACGTACAGGGACAGGGTTGGGTATTCGCACCATAAGGAAGAATGAAGCGGTGCTTCGTTCCTGTCATCTTCTCAATGGACCTTTTGCATTCTTTTGCATTTCTTTCTTCACTTTCAGTGACCAAGTGGGATGAGGTGATTACAGTGTAGTACATTCCAATTGTGATGGAAGCGACATAGGCATATAGGGACAGGGGTAGCCCCAACACTTCTGTAGAAGTTTCGTTCTTCACTTTCAGCGACCAATTGGGATGGGGTGATTACAATGTAATACATTCCAGTTGTGATGGAAGCGACATAGGCATATAGGGACAGGGGTGGTCCCAACACTTCGGTAGATTTTTCATTGTTTTGGCTTGGTGTGTTGTTTTACGATTTGCTTGGTTGTGGTTTCGTTCTGTCCCGGACACATTGGTCCCGGTTTCACCGGTTCCGGAACGGAGGCCGAGGAACCAGACTGGAAGACATGCCGCACAGAACCCTGAGATTTTTTCGAAACTATATCAGCAATAATTGAGTAGGTTGCAGGCCTTTCCGGGACCGGAATCGTTCGAACCCGCCGCAATGGTGAATAGGGCGATGTCGGAAGGTTGGTGGCATGACGGCGTAGTCAAGGGTGAAGTCAAGGTGGATAAAGCCCCCTGAGGACGACCTCGTGGCTGCGGTCAAAACCAGTCAGGGTAGCCATGCCCACCAAAGTGTGATTCATTCAGTTGTTGTTGATGAACCGCATGTTTCATTCAGTTTTGTTGATGAACCGCGTGTTATAACTTTACATGTACTGGACTACTTGTCTTGAGTGGGCTATGTACTTGTGCATGATGGGTTGATCACATCACTTGTCACGCACACCTTCAACCAACAAACCTCAAAATTTACAGATGTTAACATCACATGATACAAGACGCATTAAAAAAGTTTCAAAAAATCATAAGATTGTTTAGGCCCCGCAATAAAGTGAAAACAAAAAGTCAAGGTGACAAAAAATAAAGTAGTGAGTGCGCGAGCACGTTTTGACACCTCCATCTTTGGCAATTTGTAATTGTTGTTTGGCTTAGTGAAATAACTTCAAAATCTTTAAGAATATACCTCGCATCATAGAGAACGCACAAAAAACAATTCAGAAAAAAAAAAACTTTCTTTTGGGCCCCGAAATAGTTTTTGGCGGGAGCCTAACGCCTTCGGGTTCGGACCCCGAACGCCCGTACGCACGGAGGTCGACCGGGGAACCTCCGTACGTACGGGGTGGTGACCCTGTATATATATATATGCAGTTTGTCACAGCCCCTCGTTTGTTGTCCTCTTCTCTCTCTCTGCCTACGGTTTACCGGGCAGTTCTGTTTGTGACGATATATATATATATATATATATATATATATATATATATATATATATATATATATATGGTGTTAATAATCATATGGATGTGTTCGTTCCCATGCAACATTGTTGACGTGTGTGTTATGTTCTTTATTTTCAACTTTTTTTTTAAATCAAGTCTGTCATAAACTGATATGCCCCTTGTCCAACACAAAGGGGCACCCCCTATGTGTTAGATATCCAATCCTTACCTATTGCCACGCTCTGCCTCGAAGTCAAAGTCACCGTGAAGGTCGAATGACTATTTTCGTCAATTGTTTTATATCATGAGGAGGTGATCCCTTGTGAAATTTCAACCTCGACATTTGTGTGTTATGTGTGACCCTGAAACCCATGAAGCGCCGCACAGTTTTGGGTAACGCATGAATCACCACCATGACATCTCATCATGTGGTCACACATGACTGGGTGTTAGTATGATCTCGCCTATGCATTTATTCGTTTTATTTATCTCTCGCAAGCCATACCTCATCACTCGTGCACAATTTGAGTTGTGGGTTGGAATATTTGTAAAGGGACTACGCATAAAGAGTCATGCTTGAAGATTATGTTTGTGAGAATGAGACGCGTTGTAGTTTCGATGTCCTAGTCGACCGGCGTAGGGCCGCAATTGGGAGATCAACACCTTAAGCTTCTGTTCGCGTGCGGGTTCGATCAGGCATGACCGCACATAACCCCTATGCTACAACGAGAAACGCCCTTGACTGATCCACCTTTGCAATTGAATGTAAAAACTTTCGTAATGTGGATTGCCAGCTTGGCGGGGATACACCCATCTAAGGGATGATGCCAAAGTTATGTTGTACCTCGCAAGATGATATCTTGTTGTAGGGACTCATGAGAGGTATAGCTGCCACACTTGGTCAGAGCGGCGAAACTTCTTATGTTATTCGCGTGACACTACCGAATCGTGCATCACGAGGTCAGGAGGGTCCCCTCGGTGAGACCAATGCGCTTGCCAGCGGAGCTTGTCATAGCAGATTACAATGGTTTGACAGTTGTTCAAGCCTCGACTTCAAAGCACCCTCTCACTTTTACCTCGTTATATGGTTCGAGTAATAACGAACTAGGGTCAAGGAACTAAATACCTGTTGATGAAAAATCTTTCACGGCCCAATCGCTATACCGTACTCTTTGACGTGCACTCATTCTCTGTTTTTCAATTGCATCAGCGTTTGTTCATTGTAGTCCCCATAGTCGTGATTCTAGATAAGATTAGTGGACTTCAGGTTCAGGAAGAAAAGGGGCTCCAGAGCGTTTCGGACGCAAGAGGCCACAACTTCACGTGCTTCCTTCTCCCTTAGTCATTTTCCCCTTCTTGATTTACTCGTCACCTCCGTATTCACCAAACTTCCCCTCCTGTTTACCAGTCTTGCTTTATCCCGATTCCTCATCTTAAAAAGATCTCACGAGGGAGATGAGTTTGATCCTCTTTCCCTACTTAACCTCTCGCCAGGCTAGCTTCTCTTTGTAATCCCGACGCGCATAGATGTTTCCCTTGCCCTCTCTCTTCCAGTCTGTCGTCTTCACCCTTCTTTTTCTCTTCACTTCCTTATACTTTCTCAAACAATTTATTGGTCTCACACCTTTTCCTTTTCACATACTCAACTTCGTGTTTCTTCTCACCATTACATTGGCGGGTGACCATTCTCACATCCAAGTGTGCTGGCTAGTGCCTTTTTTTCTCATACTGATAAACTTTTCCTTTTTTTTCCTTCGCTTCCTTTTCCCCTCCTTCATACCATTTCTCTTCGCTATCGCTTCCTGTGTTTTCTCACGCACTTCGTCCTTTTCTCTTTCACTCTCTAGTTACTCCCCATGTAGTACCTCTCATCCCCAATTATGCACTTATACTAGTTTATAGTCAG